TTTCTTCACACTAGACACCTTGTCCTCAGGAACTCAGAAACTACAAAAATTGGCATGAGTTTCTCTAAGGCTTGAAAGTGCAGCCAGATCAGAAAGTGATGGCTACTGTGAGCAGTGTGCAGCCCTAATACGTGCAGGAAAGGACTCTTAGCATAACAAAATAAAAATGAAATAAAATGATGGCGTTGTGATGGCAGGCATGTGTCAGCTACCATCTGTAAGGGTGTTGTATCATCAGAAGTCTGGAACAAGAATTACCCAATTTTCCACCCCTGCAGGAAACAGATCCTCCTTGCTTCTCTCTCTTTTTTTTTTTTTTTTTTTTAATCATCTTCATGAATTTTTTCTTTTATCAGCTTCATGAATATTTGCTTTTTTTTTGTCCAGGAGAAAACAGTTTATCCCTTTCATTCTCAGACAGTGTAGAGGAGTCCTGGAAAGGGTTGGGATCTTGGTTCAAAAGCGCACCAGTGCAGAGGGTGTTTAAAGATAAGGGTATTCCCATACTGCCTTCCTTGCTGACTTCAGCGGCTGCACACCAAACCACAAAGCTCTTTGCCCGACATCGCCTGTCAGCAGCCAGATGATGCTCTAAGAGTCTGAACACCTCGTGGAGTACTTGATAGAGGTGTTGGGACACCCCCCAGGACACACAAAGAAAACCTACACCCTTACCAAGCGTGGACAGTCAAGTGGGACCTGTCAGACAGATTTTGGAAAAACGTTAAGCAGCCAGGATCACACATCACATTTCCAGAGGGGCCTTGCAAACACTGGTGCTCTGGGTTATAATCACATCAACGCTTGCAGGTTCTGGATCAAGTCCCACGAGACTGCATTTTTATGTGTGTAACTCACCGGCCGCCTGTGAAAGCAAGCAAGTCCTGACTCAGTACCGCTGTAGGTACGGCATGAGTAACTAACAAACATAGAGGAGATCTTGCACCTAAATCTCAGAGTCCTGCTCCCTCACCCCTAATATGGCTTTTGCCTCCCTCTTCCTGGAGGTTACCCGAGGGCTCATTTTCAAACACCATTTCAGGGGATGAAGGCTAGGTATGTATGAATACACAGCACTTGAACACCTCAGTAATGATGGTTCCCTTGAAAAAGTCATCTTTGTGTTCAGTTCACCTGATGCCACACGCAGCAGAAACCCTGCAAAATCACATAAAACATCCATCTGCGCAGGCACAAGCCCTCTTGCCGAACTTCTGTCACTGAGATGATACATCATACAGGAAAAAAATAGTTATATTTGTCATTGCTTGCCAAAACATGTACACACCCTACATCTATGCAGACAACCGTTCTATTATCTGATGGTTTGTAGGTACTCCATGCCAGACCTTTTAAGTTGAAATGCATGTGGTAAAAGTCTAAACACCTAATGCTCTGCTCTATGCCGAGGCCAGGAGTTGTACTCTGTATGTGTTTGGTGAGGGAAGAAGAGGAGAGTTGCCAGACAAGCTAGGAAGATGCCATCAAACCTGGTGAGTTCTCAGACCTGACTTCTCTTTACATCTCTGCATTCATCCCCTAAAGAAAAGGCAGTTCCTGATACAGCGCCTGTTGCTATTCATGTTGTGAATTAGCAGTCACTGTCTCAGTGGCACTACATCAGAAAAGCTGGGGGACTGTATTCATCCTCCCTCTGTGGAAGCAAACATACTAATCCCCCATCCATCTACCCTAAATAAAGAAGATAGATAAAAATCTCTGCCATATCTGGATGTTCCTAAAATCCCCAGATTCTACTCATCTTTAACTGGCCTTTACTCGTTTTTGTGCTAGTCCATGCTGCGAAGATGCTGACATGTATCACAGGTCCTGGTAGATACCACTGTTGTCCAGAAAGAGCAGGAATTTTAGATGCTGTTTAGCAGCCACCTGGCTCTCACGAGGTGAGCAGGGACACACTCCTGTGCTCCCTGCTGGCTTGCAGGCACCAGGCATCTGACACAGCGCCGACATGGCCTGACCAATTTCTGGTCTGCTGAGCAGTTTGATGACCACATTTTACAACCATGTAACCAGTCCCTCTTCCAGAAGGGGCTCCAGACCCAGGAGGCTGAAGGACACAGATGATGTGGAAAGGTGACCCCCCATAGCAGTTGGCACTGCAGAAGATGATAGAGCTTAGCTGTCTGGTTTTGTAGGATGGGCAATGCTTGTCTGCTCAACAGTTTCCTCAGGCAACCCTCTGCACACAAGAACATCTGGCCACCCTGAGCCTCCAAGAACATTTCTGAGTATCCATCAACAAGGTCCACACACAGAAATCTCCTTCCAAATGCAGATGAATGGCATCATCTTGTACTACAGGGTTAATGGCTCCATGGCTAGCAGCATCCTGTATCTCCTCAACACTCAATGCTTCTGCCTGGCTTTCCCTGCGTATACATTCAAAGCAGGTTCTTCTCCAGTCCTGTTCCGTTTCCCATTTTGCATGGGGACAAAAATAACTAAAAATGTTGTACTTGCAAGAGCACGAGGAGCTCTGAGGTGAATAATCATGTTACACGCA